TTTGAATTTTCTCTTTTCGAAGAGAGTTCATGATTTCATCTTCGAGTTCTTTCTTTCGTTCTCCACTACTTCGTGATTTATCCTGGGGCTGACGATATTCTTTGACGATTTGATAATTTTTCAACAGATAAATTACACCCCAATACAAATCAAAGGCTGATTCTGGTGGAACATCATCATATCTAGTTTCGATGACGTTAAAATAATCAGAATGCCATGGTGGTCTTTCAGGTGCATAATAACACCGCATGATTCCAGGAGACCCATATGCTTTAATGATATCTCGAAGTAGTGACCAACCTTCTGTAGGATCATCACTAAAATATTTGTCAACAAGAATTGCACAATCGCATTCATGAGGTGACACATTGTACGAAAATTTCAATTCGTCTGAATTCAAGCGATCCATGATAGAAACTGATGATTCTCACATTTGGAATGGTTCTTATAATCCGCCTCGAATGCTCTAGAACCTCAATTAATGGCGCAATTTATTCGTTTGATGCGTAATAACTTGAAGATTCTGCCAGTTCACTTGAACTATGAGTCATCATTTTCGCAGGCTATAAAAAATGTGATTTCTCAGGAGATATTCAATCGCAAATCAAATTTCACTGGAACAGTATCTAACCTATATATGTCAAGATGGAAGTAATTTTGGACGCACAAGGTTTCAGATCACCTTTTCATGAGTTCATCATTAAAGAATTGGCATTCATAAATGTTCACACAAGTGATAATGGATTTGAGGGCCGTGAATGTCTAATTTTCAAACCTCAATATTCATGGGATGAATTACCATCAAAATAAAAAAATGTGAATTCTTGGCTGATTGATAACTTCCATGGAATATCTTGGGAAGCTGGTGATACACCTTACACTGATGTGAAACAAGTGGTTAAGATAATCGCAAAGAATGCCTCTGTTATCTACGTTAAAGGACTGCCGAAAAACAGTGGCTTCAGAAAATTCTAATGGATTCCAAACCTGTCATAAACTTGGAAGATTTGAACTGTCCTAAGTTAACTGACTTAACACGCCCAGAATGTTCTAACCACAATCATAATCATCATGTTGTCAAATACATGTGTGCTCTCGAAAATGTCAAACAACTGAAGGGATGGTATTTAAAAAATTGTACCGCATGTCTGGATCGATCATTGAAAATGTTCTGTAAACATATGAGTTTACACCAAATGAGTGCAGAGGATATTTCATTCTTCCCGAAGGAATTTTTACTTGTTTTTGCGTCCCATAGTACTGAAGATATCTGGGAGAAATTTCCAGCAACATTGAAACGAGACAAAGACATCGCATGTTATCGCAAATGTGAAAATTATCAAAGAGCCCCCCAGGATGGACAGGATGAAGCTGATTGTAATGATACATTATTACACAAACTTGTGCCTATGAAAAGAGAATGCTTCTTTTGTAAAATGTTGGATGTTCAATAAACATAAGAAGAAACGAGAAATTTCGAAACTGTTTTCTTTATTTTTCTAAACATGTAAAAATCCTAGCACCTTCTATAATTTACTAGAACGTTCTACAAACGTGCGGCAAACGTTTGTTCATCAGGGCTATTCCACACAACTGTTTCCACAGTGATGCTCAATATTTTTATCAACGTATATAAATAGTTTAATCTAATTCATGATCATTCGCAGTATCTTCACTTCAATTTCCCCACCCCGTGCTCCTGACCCCATGTCCCTGGCCCCTGCTCCTAGGCCCAAGCCTCTAACCTCTCACAGCCCCACCCCCCTCGCGCGCTCTACTGAACGAGTTGACCCTTACAACTGACCCATACCCCTACCACCAGCTGACCCTCATGACCCTTACAATCCACCCATACCCCTACAACCAGCTGACCCTTATGACCGTCATGACCCTCGTGACCCTTCACCACCNCATACCCCTACAACCAGCTGACCCTTATGACCCTCGTGACCCTTCACCACCCGCTTGACCTTGATGACTCACCATCGAATTTTCTAGATCTTCCCTCCCCTCACCCCCACCGACCCGTTCTACCCCACACCTTCCTCGCCGAACCTTCTAGAACAACCCCTCCCCCACCCCTCAGCCCCTACCCTCACAACCAAACCTTCTAGAACATTCTACCACCAACCCGTTCTGCACCATGATGACTCATATCTCAAGGTCAAATTGGTCCAGAAGCGGCACTGCCTATCTACTGATTCCTCTATTAGGAACCTCCCGCTCGTCCAGAGCCGAGGTAAGCCGGACCTCACCAGAATCCGCCCCAGGCGAGCCCCTTAACCCCCTTTACCATAAGTTAGGGGTCCCCCCCCCAGTGGGGATGCGAAGCCCAGCCACCCTTTCGCGCCCCCAACCCCTGTTTCCAAAAGCTAAAAAATCCGTCCGGACTGGGATTCGAACCCACGACCTCCTAGTGGCCAAGCCGAACTAACGATTTAGCCACCGCGACCATTGGACGTCGGTGTCATGGAATGTTCTTGAGGAGAATAATTCCATAGCTCTGTTCTTATATATTTTTGGGGTGTGTCATCTACGAATTTTCGATACATATTTGTGGAAATGATCCCTGGAACATATTTGAAACGTTCCGTGAAAACGTATCATCTGGAACGTATTAAGAACCAATTCCTGAACGTTCCTTTGGTTACACGTGCCTATGAAACCGTATATGGTGTTCCCGGTGCGTAAAGGTCCACTTTTTTGCACGCACGTGTAACATATTGTTTGGTACCGAAAAGTTTTATTTCGGAATTTCCTCTATGTCGAATGCCTCATTTATTGTAAAATTTAATCCGGGTTTTTACCAAACTATTCAAACGGCTAGCAATTCAATACTCCAGGGCCAATTCCCCATTTCTTCGAATTACTCAGGGCCAATTCCCCAACTATTAAGTTCGCCAGCTGCATTTGACCTTTTTAAAAACACAACTATTTCTCTTGGAACAAAAACTTGAAGTAAATCCTCTGGCCGTAATAAAATACATTTTCAAACCATCAAAATTCTCTTTCCTTACAAAATCGCTCTGACCGTTATAAAATATTGTATTTATATAAAGGAAATATCTTCAGACATTTTACAATTTAATCCGTTTCGTCGCGACCCACGTGTTTTCCCCCGACTTTGAGACAAGAGTTTTCAAAGGAAAGCAAAAATTTCACGCATTTATGACTTAATCCCTTCCAGACGAAAACCATATCCCATGACTCTACGCACCTTTCTACCTGAGGCAAGCGTAACCCCTACATTAGCAAACTGAGTTACTCCACGCCCTTCCTCCTTATTCTCATCGTTGAGGTCAAGAAAATTCTGATCGCCCAATCACATCATTCATAGTTTCTCCTCCATCAATCCGAAGATCGTACTTCCTTCCACATCAAATTTTGAAACTTTGAGACACACCCCCAATTTTTGCCTTGACAAGAGAAAAAATTTTCTTCCTGCCAGACTTCAACCTCAAGTTGCTAGAGAATCACATCATTTTCGGAATATCGTGCGCGTATAGAGACATTCGACATAAATTAACCTTGTCGGAAGTGTTATTTAACAAAGTTTTAAAATTAAAAATGAACTGTTCGTGAGTGTAATCTATCAAAATTATTAAAGGCAAATAGAACTGTGAGAATCAACAACAAACAAACTATAAAAATAAAATTTATATAAAATAAAAGTCGTAAAAACATTCGAGTGAATTTAATTCTTAGCTCAAAGGTATCGATTAATTTAGAATAGTCGAAACACATATCTTATTTTTTGTAGTACCTGTCCAGTTCACTTTTCGGGGGTGCAGTGGGTGTAAAATGTTTGTTTTTCTTCAAATACTTGCGTGTGCAGTGGGTTTTTGCGCTCGCGGAATAGCGTTTCACACCCAGCGTGATGAAAAATTTTTTAACAATACTGTTAGGAAAGAAAAATAATATTCCAAGGTTTCCTGAAAATGCAAGAAATAGTTATTTGTGTCACAAGGCCCGTAAGTGGAGGTTTGCGATGAGTGCTGCTAACTCACACGAATCGCAAACCGACACTACGGGCCGAGTGGCACACACTATTTTTTGTCATGAATGCCCCGGGGTGTGGGGGGGGAAGAGCGGGGTCCAGGGGCCGCAGGCCCCGGCGGGGGGGGGGGGTTCGCGTCCCCACTGAAGAAAAAATAAATGACAAAATAAAAAAA